CTGCTCGGGTACCGACTGAATGCGGTCGGGATGCTCTGATAACAGTCTATCGATCGTCCAAAAGATCCTCACACCGTCGCAATGAGGAGTTATAGCCGCAGTGTCGGAGACACAACTCCGGGCTTTCCGGCCAGCCTGACACGTGGCGAAACACGTGTCATCCCCTCCGGTGCCTTGCTGTCCCTGCCAAGGGTCGACGCGTGTCTTTCCTCAGCTTCTGCCCAAGGTTCCTCGGTCGGGAACTGAACATGTCGATCGGGCAAGGACCGGTCGGGAACCGACCGGGTTTCTCTTGAAAATCCCGCCCTGTGATCTGTAAAAAGAGGAGGAAAGAGATGAAGGTGCGTCGGTCGGGTAGGGCCCAGGCGCTCGGGGTATTTCAATATATATATATAATTAAAATTAAAATCTAAGTTTTTAGTTTTTTAAAATTTAAAACAACATTTATCTAATATTTTGACTAAAAATTGATGAGGACGAGATTTTTCGTCCTCGCCAAATTCTCCGCGGGAACGTAGACAGGGACTATTTTCAATTTCCCGTTGAGGACGGAGACGGGGAGTATACTTCCCGTCCCCGCCCCGCCCTGCCCCGTTGTCATCCATACTCTAAATATGGGTACTCACTTTTAATTTCTAATTTTAGTTCAGATGGTTCAACCCGCCCGATTAACCCGACAACCCGAAGTTTAGGGTTAGGGCCAAACCGAATCCGAGAATAAAATATTAATAAACCGATTAGCCCGAACCTATTAGCCCGATAACCCGACAGGGCTAGCCCGAAACCGAGTGGGCTGGCCCGATTGACATCCCTACTTATATGTCACTATAATCACATTACTATGATTATATTCATTATCATCTTATTTTACTTATCACTATCTTATATCTTTTCTACTTACTTTACTTATTTAAACATAATAACTTATTTTGTTACACTTTAAAGTTAGACATTATTTACATTATCAAAATTAAAAATTAAACTATATATAATGTTTTAGATTTTGATTAAACTCAATAGATTATTAGTTCAATTATTCTTTATTATATTACATCGTAATACAAGTTCGGTCCAGATATCGGATATTGAAATCTCACATATATTATAATTCAAAGTAAAAGTTATATCTAAAAACATAATAAGCCCCAATTAAGGTTATATCATTGATTTATGTCCCTCTTTTTGTATGCAAATAAATATGTACATTTTAATTTAAATGTTGTACATTTCAATGTTATTAGACAAAACTACTCTTACACCGTTAGTTTTTAATTCTAACATTGATAACACATCAGTATTACCATACACCTATATCTATCATATTTTTTCCTATTTTTTAATTATCATTTTATTAAAATGATAGATTTCTATATATGATAAATTATATATTTGTGTGTACAAAATACATATATTATTTGTATATATATATAATTCAAATTATAATTTTTAATTATTTGTATTCATTAATGTTTTAATATTGGGCATAAATTTTCGCGCATCGCGCGTACAAAATGTTAGTATTCATATATAATTATATATGTAATTGAAATGAATATATTCAAAAAATATTAATATTATCTAAACTAAATTTTGGGTGACTTAGTAGGTTATTCGTTCGGATATATTTTTTAGGTATTATGTTATATACAGATCTAAATTTTGTTCAGTTATCAAATGTATAAAATCTTACATATATTAGACTTAAAAGTAAAATAAAATAAATTTATTCAATTTAAACCAAACATATGTAAAAATATCTTAAATATAATATCTAAAAATCACTCGAAATTAAACTTGTGTTAATTTTATACGTTAATCTAAAAAAATAAATTTGAAAAAACAAGTGTTAATAAACAAGTTTTCTAAACATAAAACAGATAATGGAAAATAGAGAATGAAAACTGAAAATTTAGAAAACATATAACATTTATTTGTTAGTAAACAGACCCTAAGATTCTCATATTTGGTTTAGGTTATATAATTTCATATGGAAATGTCACATAATCCCATATTAAGTTTTTAGCTATTGGAAAGGAACGTGAGATACCTCAAATTTCTTAGCAATCTCACATTCCTTTGTCTTATTATTAATTTTGGGCATTTGACATTTTAATCAATTTGTCTTGTTACCATTGTTTTATTTATATACTTTAGTTTTAACCGAAAGAATTTAACATTCTCTAAAGTAATATAACATTCCGTGAACCAAACACCTCCTTACAGTTTTTCTTGTAAGTAACAAACACTAAATTAATGATTAATATTATTTCAATATAAATATTACATATTCTGACTTAACAAATCTTATGGATAAAGATCAGTAAGATGGTCTCATCCGCATTTTTGTCTTAATATTTTTTACACATATGCACTTTAATTTGCAGTAGCGTGCCAATATGCTATATGTCATTGTTATGCAAATTCTTTTAGGCCATGAATTAAAAAAAAAAAAAAACATATGTTACAAATATATTATTTATGTACAAAATGTATATTATTTAATACTCCGTGTTATATAAATAATGTATTTTAGGACCCGTTTGGAAAGCAATAAAATTACTTCTGAGAAATATTTTCTGGAAAATGTGTTATTTTTCTGAAAATATTTTCATTATCTGTGTGTGGCTGCACAACGTAAAACTGTCTTTTTCGTGTTTGGTTCATTTTCGAGAAAATGATTTGAATTGTATACTTCTAACTAGGGGTGTGCAAATTTCGGAGAAATTTCGGTTAACCGACCGAACCGACGAAATTCGGATAACCGTTTTCGAACCGAAATATTTCGGTTCGGTTAATGGTTAAAGGTTTTTCTAAAATTCGGTTAACGGTTAATTCGGTTCGAAATTGTCGGTTAACCGAATTAACCGAACGGTTAACCGAATTTTGGAATATATATATATAATATAATATATTAAATATTAAATATATAATTACTAAAATCATAAATAGTCAAAATGTCAAATAGAATAAATAATAATCTGAGTTTATTATGATATGTATTTTATTTTAATTGGAATTATTATTTTAGGAATTATTTTATGGATTTTAAATTTTAGGGTTAAAAATTTCGGTTAATCGGTTAACCGACCGATTAACCGAAAAAAAATTCGGTTCGGTCAATTCGATAGAGTAAATTTCGGTTCGGTTAATGGTTAAAGCAAAAAAAATTCGGTTAATTCGGTTCGGTTAAAACGGTTCGGTTAACCGAACGGTTAACCGAATGAACACCCCTACTTCTAACACTTTAATTGTTACAAACCCAAAAATATTGTTAACAACAAATAATTACAATTAAAACTAACACATAACCACAATTAAAATTCTGCAAATAAGACTCCAATTTAGCATTAATACCAATAAAATTCCGCAGAACCAGCCAGAAATTGGTTTCCGGCTGCGGAAACCAGAGGCACTGGTTTCCAACTGTATAAACTAGTGAGGAGCCTTCCTCCAGTTATGGGTTTTTCACCCCACAGCCAAAAAACAGTTGGTAGAGATTTGTTGGTGAAGCTTTCTGGTTGTGTGATTGTTTGAGGAGTTTTATCCTTTTCTGTTGGATGTTGATGTGGAGGCAAAGCTCCAAAAGATAGAAGTAAAGAATGGAAAATGACTTCCCAATAATAATAATAATAATAATAATAAGGGTCAAATATGCCACTGAACTGCACACCAAGTTGCAATTAGGCCATCAAACTCAAAAAAGTACAATTGGGTCCCTGAACTACACAAATTAATGCAATTAGGTCTAAAATGACCTGTTTACCTAATACTTTGATGACGTGGAGGTTTTGAATTTTAAAAATAATTTTAAACAAAAAATAATTAAAAATTTAAAATTTAAAAAAAAAAAACCAGAACGGCCGGAGACGAAATCATCTCCGGCCGTCCTTCGTCTCCCTGGCCGGAGAGACGATGAGACCTTCGTCTCTCCGGCCAGGGAGACGAAGAGACCTTTGTCTCCTGGCCATGGAGACGAAGGACGGCTGGAGACGATTTCGTCTCCGACCGTTCTTTTTTTTTTTTAATTATTTTAAAAATTATTTTTAAAATCCGCAACCTACCTGGCAGGTAAACAGGTTATTTTAGACCTAATCGTATAAATTTGTGTAGTTCAGGGACCTAATTGCATCTTTTTTGAGTTTGATGGCCTAATTGTAGTTTGGTGTGCAGTTCAGTGGCCTATTTGACCCTTATTCCAACAAAAAAAAAAAAAAAAAAAAAGGAAGTCATTTTCCGAAAGAATGGAGTTATTTTCCATTGACCACAAGTGATTTTCCTTTGATTTCTAATTTTCTTGCCTAGCTAAACACCATAAATCATTTTTCAAATTTTCAAATACATCTTTAGAAGAAAATAATGTGTTATTTTAAAGCGAAAATAATGTGTTTTTAATATTCAAATTTTCGAATAATATATTTTCAAATAATGTATTAGGAATAATATATATATTTTTATTATGAATAAGGGTCAAATAGGCCATCGAACTGCACCCAATAATGCAATTAGGCAACAGAACTTTAAAAAGCTACAATTAGGTCCCTGAATTAACAAATTCTATTCAATTAGTCCAATTTATAAGTTTTTCAAATCGTTAGCAGGTCACCCCTTTTTAATTTTTTAAATTATTATTTAAAATAATTATTTAATATTAATAATTAAAAATAAAAAATAAAAAACAGATCGACTCCGCCGGTCTGGCTGGAGACGAAGAAAAGTTATCTTCGTCTCCAGCCAGGGAGACGAAGATAACTTCTTCGTCTCTGGTCGGAGACGAAGGAACCTCGCGGAGACGATATCTTTTATTTACTTATTTATTATTATTATTATTTTAAATAATAATTTTTTAAAAATATTTTAAATTAGGGGTGACCTGCTAACCACCTGAAAAATATTTTAAATTAGCTTTTTAAAGTTGGGTGATCTAATTGCATTATTGGTACAATTTGATGGCCTATTTGACCCTTATTCTTTTTTATTATATTAAAAAAAATGTACTGATATTGTCATGTGCAGTTGGCAAGCAGGAAGCTTAGATATGGACGTGGAAGCCACAAGGGGTACATCTTCCGGACCGATCAGCAGTGATTCGTCTCCTGAACATCGCTCGAAATGGATCCAGTACGTTCGCATCAGATTCTCAAGCAGTTCTTAAATATACGTTTCTTAATTTGTGAAACTGTTATCTATTTTAAGGATTCAAGATTCTCTAAAGGGAAATCTCATTACAAAGGATGACTTCAAATGGAGATTACCCACAAAGGATGACGGAGAAGAAGCAGTGAAAAGTGGGGAAGTTCTCAAATTCGTCGGCGGGGTTGACTTGAGCTTCTCAAGGGCTGATCCCTCCGTCGCCTGTGGCAGTCTTGTGGTGCTGGACTTGCAGACACTCCGAGTTGTGTACGAGGATTACTCTGTTGTTAGGCTCCATATCCCTTACATTCCGGGTTTCCTTGCCTTCAGAGAGGTTTTTACGAGGACCCATTTCTGTTTTTTTTTTTTTGGTTTGTTTTTAAATTAATTTATTAAGTTAATAATAATGGGAAACACAAGTGTTCTTGGTTGAATATAATTTTTTCCTCTGATGGTACTGATTATGATGATTAATGCAATTGACTTTCTAGGCTCCTGTGCTGCTTGGTCTTTTGCAGAAAATGAAGGCAAACTCTCATCCATTTTACCCTGAGGTGACTATAAACTTATAAAGGCTACTTCGTGTATATAATCTGCTTTTGTTTTAAGTATAATAAAAGCTAAAAAGCAGGGTCAATGCTAGTATTTCGTTTGTTTCCCTTTTCTGATCTTCATATTGTCTTTGTTTTTCCCTGGTGATGAAGGAGTTTATGATTAAGTTGAACATTTTTTTGTGAAGAGTTCCTGTTCACAAGTTATACACTTATTACAGATTATAGATTATGAAGGTGGTTATTATGTTTTGTCCTGTATCTCGTGCTTAGTAAAGTCACAGAGTGTAAACATTAATATGAATACATACAAAAAAAAAAAAAAAGAGTATTTATAGGGGACTTTCCTTGCATCAAAACAAATTTTTTACTTCCATTGGTGTAAATTAGCAAGGCTTATTATGGATTAGAAAAGTTCCTTGCTATGTTTTGTACTACATATCTACATTGGCTTGTTTTAAAAGTCATTTTAACATAATCATACTATGGGTATGTCTCATGCTTGTCAAATGGCCAGAGGAGTCCTTATGTACTCTGTATTTCCCTCCCTCCATCTCTCTAATTCCCATCTCTTGAATATGAATGTTTTAAGATTCTGAGAATTCATCCAACCCATGAATTTTAGTTGCATGTATGTATTTTTTAGCTTTTGCACTAAACCAAATTTCTACCAACAAATGTTGACATTGCAGTATGACAATAAATTTACTCACAATTAAATTACACAGTAAATGAATTGAAAATTGCTGAATCATTTTGAAGAATAACAATCCATGTCCCCACTTCAATTGATTCATTTTAAAACATAGCTTCATTTATATTTACAGGTATTGATGGTTGATGGCAATGGGTTGCTCCATCCTCAAGGTAAGTTTGTATTCCTTTGAAGTGGAAAATATATTGACTACAAGTCTGGCATGTTTGGATTGGGTCATCATAACTACAGAGGGTGTGTTCGTGGTTATATAGGTCTATAGTTATAAAAGACATGAATTCTACCAGGCAATCTGTTCGTTGGTGATATAGTTATAGATCTTAAGCACTAGAGTGGTAGATTAATCAGAATTGCTTAAACAATAATTAAGAATTTCCTTTCTCATATTCCCATAATCCATATATGTGGGGAAGGGGGTAGTTTCCTTATATATGGAGTACGCAACTACGTGCAAACCTGTTATACTGTTTATTACAGAGAAGACAGAGAACCATAAATTAGCTGACCTCTCACCACACGTCAATCAGATAAAGTGTCATTTGGGAAAAAAAATTGTGAAAAAGATTTTGGGAATGTAGTATTACTCCTAGCTTTCCAATTTCGTTTTGTTTCCTTTTCTAGTTTTTTTGTGCTTCTGTAAAGATCACCTCTGTATATTTATTTGATTAAGAACATGCATGAATCTGTATGACTGTATTATAAGTCAAGCAATATAGGGGGGTTGCAGTCTGGCTTTTCTCTGCCCCACTTGTTCTTGATATTCTACGTCCCTAAAATCATCTAAAGTAATAAATGCCTGTGCAGGCTTTGGATTGGCCTGTCATCTTGGGGTTTTAGCTGACCTTCCTACTTTAGGAGTAGGAAAGAATGTAAGTTCCAACACCTTATTTGTGCGTGCACGCATGCATGTGTTTTCAAGATTTTTTGTAATCATTCAAATTCTTATGTCAATTTATTTCAGTTGCACCATGTTGATGGTCTAACCAAATCAAGGGTTACACAACTTCTAGAAGCCACAGAAAACTCCACAATTGATAGTTTGAGTTTAACAGGGGACTCTGGATGTACTTGGGGAGCGGTGAGTGAGCTACTTAAGTTCTGGTATCCTCTAAATGATGAATTTAGTGTCGAACAGCTTTGATTAGGTTCATTATTTTAGCATCCCATGGAATCCAGTAAGAAAAGATTTCATTTTCCTTGCCCTTGTACATTCTTATTATTCTTCCTTTATTCGGTGAGTAGGATGATATATCAACTAGATGATCTGACTGATTCCATTTAATAGATGGAGGGGAGGGGGGATAACAAATATTCTGTTTTCCTTGTCATTTGTCTACAGTCTCTTATACATTTATACTCTAAGATCATGACTATTCTCATATGTATGCTGCCTGAAACTGGAACTCTATATTTTCTCTCTATTACATAGGAGCTTAGTTAGCCAATAGCCCAAGATAGTAGTATTAGTATGATATCTCTGGTCTGTAAAGGTATAAGACACTGGAGGCCTTCATTTTAAATTTTTGCATGGAAAACCAGATAGAGTATGACTCCAGCATTCATTTCCATGTTGGCAACTTTTTAACCTCTTTGAGTCTTTGTTTGGCCTTGAAATTTCTTGGACCACCAATATAAGATCCATTTCATCTCAGCAATATACTTATTAATGCCATTGTGAGGTGGTTCGTACTTGCATTATTATGTGGTTTCTTTAAAAAAAAAAAATTAAAAAGACCAAATATAGATATAATTGATATGCAGGCAATGCGATCAACTCGATGCTCCTTGAAGCCCATATTCATTTCAGTTGGTCACCGTATTTCTCTTGACACTGCCATTAAAATTGTGAGGATGACTTGCAAATTCCGCATTCCAGAGCCCATCCGGCAGGTAAAATTACATATATATTAAGATGCATATATGTATATTTGTGTTACATATTTATGGTGCTTCAAATTCTATTTTTCACAACCTAATACTCAAGAAGTACATGTAATGCTCATAGTGTAACCCTATGTCCCTACACAATGATATCATGATGATGCCCCAGTTACATTACCGACGTCCTGGGTGGTTACTCCCACACTTGAGCCTGCTGTAATTGCTATCTAGGAGCATCTAGTATCGTTGTCTCAAAATTCTGCAGTTGCAGACCACTTTATGCCTTAAATAGATTTGCTTTGAGGATCATAAAGGACCCATTGTGTTATCATCTAGTTTGTAGGACTTCTCGACTGAACATGTTAATTAAATTTGACCATGTTAAAAAGACATGCATGTTAATTAATCACTATTTGCTTAGAAGAATCCAGTTTAAGTGGGTATTGTATTGTGTCTATGATATGAAAAATCAGATAGCCAATAACTTGGGTTCTTTACATTTGTCTGACCAATAGGCAGATATAAAATCACGGAGTTACCTCCATGATCATCCAGAGATGCACCAGCATTTATGTGGTAGGTCAAACTCTTTATTTATTTATTTATTTATTTTGGACTCATGTTGCAATAGAATATTTTTAAATATAGAGGTTATAATTTCATGATCCAAATTTAGGGTTGTTGAAATAAGATGTTTTTTCTCCAAATTGTTGCTCTTCTTACATTTCTCACCTAACATGAGGTATCGAGATAGTGCTTTTCAAATAGGTGCGAACTACTTAAATTTGTTCTTGAAAAATGTATCATAACTCCTAAGTTTATTCCTTGGAAAATGTACCACCAGAAAAGTTAAAGACCACATCTCAATTTAAATAGGTATATTAGATATAACTTTCTTGATACTTGTGCAACTGGGAGTCCTTAAAAAATGGCACTTCCACTGGAAAAATGTAGCCATGTAGCGCATCTTCAAACTACAACTTGTAAGGGATGTCTTGACTCTTAAAAGGTTTTATTATTAAATACCACATGGTCCATCATCCAATTTTTGGACTCTTGTTTGATGTGTTCCACATCAACTAAGTTCAGCCTTATGCTCTACTGTTTATACAACGGCAGAATGATTTGCCACATAAATCATGATTTTCAGCTTTTGCATGGTCATACAATTGTTTTAAGAAGATTGACAAATGTAATGCTAGAACAAATTGAGCAGCCATGTACAAAATATGAAGTAATTCTTATCAAAAAGTGAAACAATAATTCAAAGCATGCATGCAAAACTGAAAAAAGAAATAATCACAAGAACCATATTTTGGAGGGTTGTTATAGCACTATTTCTATCACTAGCTGGACGACTAGTCTGAATCATGACTTTAAACTTGCAAGTTGGGGTTGATGGATCCTTGTTTGTGATAACTGACAGGCCAGGAAACTTGCAAGCACTAGGAAGCTGGTTGTTCTCCTGATAGTAACTGTTAAATGCATAAGAAATGTTGCCACGAGAGTCTAGATCTCCGCATGATGTCCCGTACCCAAGGGTTGTGCAATCAGCATGTGAGCACGCATACCCAACACTGTCACCTATCTGAGGGTTGTCAAGACTTGCTGTGGGAGCTATGACGCACCACTGTTGAGTAAGGTAATGAACACCACTCGCTGGTACCAGACGTCCAGAATTGGCACCCAGGTTGAGATTGTACTTTGGCGTGCCATCAAAATTAAATATCCCCCAGTGGCGCTCAAAGTTACCTGGCTGGATGCTTTTGGCATCCTCGTCAATTAGGCTGAACAGGTACGCATCTATAGGCCCAGGTCTCAAAGGTGTTCCCTTTCCTCCTGAAATACGAGTCATGAATCCTTGATTGAATCTCTGTGCATACTTCACATTTGCATGTATATCCCCATCTGTTGGCCATCCAATTTCTCCAATGATGATGGACATGTTTGGAAACCCATTTTTCTGTAATGCCCAGACTAGGGTATCATGGTTTGCATCAAACACATTGCTGTAGACTTTTCCATCGTCATCGATGGAGTTGGTATAACCATCAAAGAAGGCATAGTCGGCTGGGAAGTTGGGGTCATTGTAGAGGCTTATGAAGGGGTATATGTTGACAGTAAAGGGTGCCCCATTGTCACTTAAGAACTTGACAATGCTCACCATGAGGTCACGGATGTCCTGCCTAAAGTCACCGGTTGAAGGTTTTTCCGATGAGCTCTGGTACACATCAGCATTAAGAGGGATAGTGACCTTTACCTTATTGCCCAGGCCTGCTTTTATGAGTGCTGCTTGCACATTTTGGAGGGCGGGGAATGTTGTTGCCAGGAAGGTCCCATTAAATGTTGATAAGAATGGTTCATTTCCTACTGCAACATACCTTCAAGGGGGGGAAACAATTATTCAGCAAAGTAAAAGACAGGTTAATCGAGCTCTTTCTATTTTCTACCTTATTGGATAATAATGACATTGCTATGCAATTATTTATAGTGAAATCTTTATTTTTTGCTTCCATCTTAAACTCTGCCCATAAAAATCTCTACATTTTCTTTTTTTTAGCTTAATCATATTCCTAGTCCTAGCTCTATAAAAGGTTAGTATACACTATACAGCCATACAACACCCACTCTGCTTTTGCCCCATTAATGTTTCCATTTTTTGGGGTGAAGTTTCAAAGATTCTCGATCAGGCACTGTATCATTTGAAGTTAGGGAATGAACATACACTTCCTATCATTAATATTGTGAATCCTATGTAAATATACAGGAAGCAAAGATTATTATTCCTATCCACGTATGAGTACTATAGGTGAAATTTGTTCAAGTACAAGTGAGTGTGTTAGAGGCAGGGTTGTGAGAAGCAGAAGTTATGAGGAGAAATACCTGATATTTACACTGTTAGATGAGACATGTGAGGAGACATTCTTCTCCACCCATTTCTCAGCAACCGCCACACTGTTAGCTAGAGCATATAACATATCATTTGGGATACCCACCATGACCTCCAAATCTGACCCTCTCAGAGCCCTGAGAATATCAGCATCTGCATCAAACAGCTTCACCTTCTGTATCCCATTGTCTTTCAGCAGCTTCACTACTGTATCAGGTGGCAGCGGATGAGTTGCCTGTGTTCCCCAATTTGCCCCTATACCCTCCACTCCCCCCACCACCATCAACCCCCACAACACCAACACTAAACCCCAATTTCCCATTTGACTGATGTTTGTTTGCTGTGAGTGCAGGGCAGTTCTTGAAATGAAGCCTGCAGAGTGTATTGCTTGCAAGAAGAGCAAGGTACATATAAAGTACAGGAGGAGAGGTGGTTTGCTCTTGAAGAAAACAGATTTGCAGCTTTTAAAAGATAGATAGATGGTCAGTCTTGGAAACTGGACAATAATATCATCTGTGACTGTGGGTGAAAGAAGATACCAACACAGAAGAGGCAAGAAAGCTATACTGTTATTGTTTCTAAAAACAAGAAAAAGAATTAAGCACTTGGGAACTTTACACCTCAGAAAGCTAAGAGCACAATGTTTTGTTGAGAAAACCAATCTTGCTAAGGAATACAAAAGAAAAAGAAGTAAAGCTAACTAAAGGGTCATTTCTAGAGGATCTCAGCATTAGCCTCATATCATATAAATATAATTGACAGGGCAAAGTGGAGCACCAAACGTATGCTGAAGGTGACAAACAATTTCTTCTTCACTTCACAAGCTAAGTGGACACGTAATACAGTTTATACTTCGAACAAGCATTAAATAATGCAGACACATTATTTGAACATTCTGGTAAGATAAGTTTGAATAATGATAGTGTCTAAGGATATTTGTCTGAGCAGTTTCTTACTTTTAATGTTTCTCACATTATTCTTAATCCGTAACTAATTACCAAACATGAATACAAAATACATTTTTAATATACTAAAAATATATTATTTGTTTTATAATATATATATATATATATATATATATATATATATATATATATATATATATATATTATTTGTATACTAAAGTACATTATTTGATAGTATATAACATAATGTACTTTCAATACTCAAATAATGCATTTTATGTATACAAATAATGTACTTTTTAGTTTTTATTTTTATTTTTTTTTTAAATGTACTTTTATTTTGTAATCGGCAGACCATTGTCCATAGAATCATGATTGCATGTTAGTTATATAGGTTGATTTATCCCTATTTGCTCCTTTGTTGGTTATGGTTACAAGGTAAATTTTATCCATAATACACCTTCAAATAACGGCCTCGTAAATCAAATACGGTTGATAATCCGTAACTAATAATAATTAAATAAATAAAGTAAATGTGTTGTTGACATTTCATATTAAGGGTGCGTTTGGAAACTCGGAAAATGACTTTCGGAAAATGTTTTCCGAATTTTTAGTGTTTGGCAAGATGGGGGAAAATGAGGTCATTGGAAAATGATGCATTAGTCAAAGGAAAATGGGTATGTTTTGGGGGAAAATGACTTCCCATCTTTTTTTTTTTTTGGGAAGTCATTTTCTAAGGGATACACATGTAAATTTTTCGGACCTAATTTTTTGCGAGTCGGCCAACCAAACCCGCATGCTAAGGTTGGTTCATCCTACCAAAACTCACCTCATGCGGGTTGGCGGGCCCCGCGGGCCGGTCCGCAATTTTTTTTTTTTAATTCAAAATTTAAAAAAATAAGTAAAGTCTACAAATAATATTAATGTTTTTATATTTAAAAATTTTTTTAAAAAATTACATATTTTAAAATGTGTATATATATATATATATATATATATATATATATATATATATTACTGCATGTATAGTAATATATATATACTACATGCACATAGACTATATATATATATTAATGACTGTAGTATTTATATATATATTACTCTGTAGAAACAATAGATCATACATACATACATACATCAAAAAAGTGCTATTCACAAAAGAATTTTATCAAAAGTATCAAATAATAAAATTTTGAAGTATTCAACTATTTTCATTTTTTGGAAAATGAACCAAACACACAAAGACAATTTTCCATTGTGTAACCAAATACCGAAAAGGAAAATGTTTTCTGAAAAATGACTCATTTTTCAGAAGCCATTTTCCGGAAGCCATTTTCCGGATTTCCAAACGCACCCTAAAAAATGCTTGAAACATGTATCAAAACTCAACTATTTATTCTAGTAACAGATGAAGTATTTCTTTCAAGCCAAAATCGACGACCTATTTACTATTTTATGTATACCAGTTGGTATGCCTTCTTCTTCATTAGAGAAGGCGATCAAGCCATACATCGACAGTTTTGCCGGTGTTTTTGGTCGAAATATGGTCGGAGGTTCGTCGGAACCCTACTAATCTGTAATTATATGTCACCAACTAATTTTTAGGCCTTAATGCTCTAAATTAACATGTTTAAAGGCTTAATTGATACCTTTGAAAGTTTAAAAGCCTAATTGACTTGTTGAGTAAAGTTCAATGACATATTTAACCATTTTTCCTAATTATTATTACTAAACCAACCAATTCAAACAGAGAAAATGTTATTTCTTGAATTTCAACCAAACAGAGAAAGATAGTTTTCGGACATTTTTTTTTTTTTTTTGGAGAATAAGGGGAGGGGGTAACCCTAGGAATCAGTTGCCTTTCGCAACAAACCTCACACACTCATCTCTCAGTAAGCTGGTCACTTCCTCTGGGGGAGTATGAATCTCAATCCAGCCACAATGTTTTCTCAGGGCAATCTTAGCTACCCAGTCCGCAACTTGGTTGAACTCGCAAGGGGTGTGGTCTAGCCGCAGATCCCAATCCTTCGACATCCAGTATGGACATTTAGCCAAACACTAGAAAATTAAAATATTTTTTAGAAAATGAGTCATTTTATGAAAATCATTTTCCGAAAAATGTTTTCCAAGTTTCCAAGCGGACCCTAAGATTAGAGTAGTAAAGTTGAAAGGACAAATGATTTGCAATCACTCACCAAAAAGTAGCAACTTTTTTTAATGGATACGAGGAAAATCCACAACTATTCGATGGTGTGTATTGTGTCAACTCATTTATTGTGTAAAAGTATGCAAACCACGCCCGACATATAAATTGTACTAGGAAGATCCTGTGTGGCAAAGTCTACCAATAAGGTGTGTACTTGATGGAGATATGGGTTATGGGCTAAGGTTTATTGGACTTGTGTTTGCTGGGCTAATTTGATGGTACATGCCAAGAGGGGTAGGAGTTCAAGAGGCAAGATGTGGACCAGCCTGGAGGGATATTGCCGCCGCCGGCCTATGCTGGTCGGTCGAGGCGGGTCGCCGTCTAGGGCTTGCACCGGTCAGCCGAGGCGGGTTGTCGGTTGGAGCGTTAGCCCCCGTTAGCGAAGGCACGACCTACGCCCCCGTGCGATGTCTTGGCGCCCCGTTCTGGGGCAGGGCATTGTGATGGGGCTATTGGTTAGGGTCGTAGGCCCAGGGCAGGCCGCTGGCCGTGGCACCGCCAGCGCGTTTGTAACACCCCACTTTTCTAAAACCTTATTAACAAATACTTAACTTAGAAATGAAATACTAACAAGCATAATAATAAATCTACTAATCATCATAAAGAGGTGTCACCGCCACAATCACTGTACACGATGATTGCACAGGCAAAGAAAGGTTCTAAACATCCACAAACTTACTACTTAAAAAAAAAAAAAAACAACTTGGGGATTGAACCCCGATGTCCAGCACCATCAGAACAACTAAATAAGTCTACAACCAAAGTCTCAAAATAACATAACTGAGGTAAGAGTTTAGAGTACAACTAGCACACTAAGCTACTCTAGTCTAACTCGAACGCTCTCATGAACTGGGCTCACCTGAAAGGGGTTAACAAACAAACAAGTAGAAAGCAACTCGTTAGCACAAAGCTAAGTATAACGCCACTCAACCCTGTAAAATATTATAGTATATACTTTTGGAAAACATTTGTTTCACACATTTAGATCAAGCATTCTCAATCACTTAAGCTACATTCAAACATGCTCAACAGGATTTCTATATGCTTGCAACCTAATTATCAAATATGCATACTTTCTCAATTATTTAGATTATCAATAAGCTCATGTTTTCACATACATATCTTATCATGCTCAAGCTTATGGTTAATAATATACTTAAACTTTAACAAACAATCTCATGCTAACATATATCTCAACAACAATCATATATCTCAATAAGCAATCTCATGCTATCATATACCTCAATAAGAAATCTCATGCTATCATATACTCAATAAGCAATCTCATGCTATCACATAACTCAATAGATCAATTACTTCACATTTTCATTCTCTACAAATGCTCCCAGACAACTTCTATAGCATGAAACATCACAAATTCTATTGCAAATTACTCATTTCTACTCCAAATTCGATGAAATCAAATTCTACTTGTGCGTCGTGACGATCCCGAGTGTTCGAGCCTCAAGGGCCCACGAGTCTCGGTCCGAACGACACGTAGATGAGCTACAAGGGCCCGACCACTACACAGATATAGCCTCGCGGGACTTGCGGTGTGGCTGGAGAAACCCCGCTACTTGGCCTCCGCCAAAATTCTCGATTTAAATCTTGGTACGCGAAGTACCCGAAAACTTAGGGATTTTCGAATGGAATACATTTCTTCGGTGTTGAATTAATTTAAAAAAAAAACGACAAAATTATTTTATTCAAACACCAATTGATCGCAAAATATTTTAATGGAGTGAAAAAGCTACTTTGGGATTTCTTAATACTGGATTTATAAAATGAAATTTTGGGTTGTTACAGTCCTTGCCTAGGACCGTTGGGTAGCTCTGTGACTTCAACTGGTGCACACTGTCTGTGCACCAGTGAGATCCTTCTTTACCTGTTAAGCAATTTCAAGCAATCCAACACTCCCAAATCCTCAACAACACATCATAGATCAACAATAGATCACTTAATAGCTCAAACACATCAATAATCTAGCATTTCTACTCATTTCAATATCTATTTTGACTTTACATAGTCTATCAAAAGAAGTGGGAGTCCATGGGTTATACCTTGTGCTTCTTCCTTTTCTTGTGTGGATCCCTTCTCTTTTCTTCCTCAGATGATACCACCTTCACCACCTATTTCCTCAACAAACATAGATACATACTAAGCTTAAGACAACCTCAGATATTGGAGGCAAGGAAATGATACCCTTAAGGAAGAAGATGAATGGATGAGATGAGAGCTTAGAAAAATGCTTACTGTGATGTTGTTCTTTGTTTGCAGAGAGCTCAATAAGAGGAGAGGCAATGAAAGAGACCAGGAAATGACAATAGAATAGTGATGTTTATATTGGATCCAAAACCCTAGGAGAAATCCAATGATTGGTGGAGGGCAAAAGAGTAACTTTAACTTGGTTTCTAAAAGATCAGACAAGGCTTTGTGGTTCACCTTGTATCATGGACCAAGGTCTAAAAGATGATTTTAAATAGTTTGGGGTCAAAAATAGATTTTTTTTTCCAAAAATACTTTCTAGACAACCACTTAGTTTATGCTTCTCAGATTTCTCCCGGTTTCACTCAGATTGACTTTTGGATCAAAAACTTGGTACGCAATGTACCCGAAAATTTAGGATTTTAGAATTAAAATAAGTTCCGGTGTTGAATTCATTTAAAATGTAACTCAAAATAATTTATTCAAACACCAATTTTATCTCAAAAATTTTATAGAGTGAAAAATGACTATTTTGGATTTTCTTAAAATCGAATTTATAAAATTAAATTTTAGATTGTCACAACGCTGCCCTGTGCCCCCCTTTTCCGAGGGTGGTGCGACGCGTGGGTGTGAGGTGGTGTTGGTGTTGTAGTATGATCTGGAGGAATCTGAGACGTGGGACACTTGGAAGCCGGAAGAGGAGTGGATCAATGGATGTACATGTGGGTGGTTTTACTATAAATAAGGTGTCTGGCTTCCTATTAGGATTGTGTCTAAACACTACAAACACCATGGTTTAATGGTCCTTGATCTATACCTTCAACCCACTAGGTTCGATTCCTATTGATAGCTTAGTTATCTATAGCCCGTCCTTTACGCTATAATCTGTATGTTTTAGCCCCCTTTGTTGGGCTTGTGCATAGGTCTTTGTACGTACTATTTTGGACCTAACGGCCTAGTTAATAAAAATATTATTTTTCTACCCGCGTTCTATATTCCTATGTACCTGGTTTATGGTAGTACCGATTCCAACAAAACTATAAGTAATTAAGTACTATTGGAGAAATAAGGCATGTTGATTTTATAACCACCGGAGTAGTCAATCAGCATGCTAACACTACCGGAAAACAAGAAAATGGTCTTATTGCTCTTGTGTGTGTGAAATGCTCAACCCTTCTTCAAGGTTTATTTTCCCTATTTATACATGAGGGTCCGGCCCCCAAAGGCAAGGAGTCAGCCTAAATTAGGTATGTAAATCACATATAAATGCATACAAATCATTTCTTAATTGCTATTACATTCTCCTTGATTTTCAACGGGGTCTACTCCATATCACCTTCCCTACTTGGTAGTCTTTCTTCTATGATGGAAGAGGAACCAACACTTTATGACTAGCAATTCCTTCATCGTGCCGACCCGGCTCTTGGTTAGTCCACTTGTCCGACTTCATCGATTCTTCGTCTGACCTTGCTTGAGTGTGTTTCCGCACATGCCTCTGACTACCCATCTCCCTTCATTTTGTATGACTTTTTCATTAGCTCGTTTGTCTGTTTAATTCCCCATTCGTATTGCCATTTGCATGGTTCCTTGCCATCTACATGGTTCTTCCACTCATTCATCTAGCCATCTGTTTCCCTCACTCGTCCACCTGATTGCACAACTCCTCCACCTACTTGCCTAGCTGCCTAACCCTTCCACTCGTCCGCCTAATTGCCCGACTCCTTCGCCCACTCGCCCAACCACCTAACTCCACCACTCATCAGCCTAATTGCCCCCGCTCCCCCATCCATTCGCCTATTCGTCTACTCCTCCACTAATTCCCCTAACTGCCCGACTCTTCCACCCGCTCGCTTATCCGTCTACTCCTCCACTCTTCCACTCATCCGTCCGTTTACTCGTCCCCTGTTCACCCTCCGAACTGCATGACTCCTCCACCCAACCCCTTATTTTTCCTATTCGTCCACCCGACTCCACACCCTTCATCTCCATCTCCATCTCCCTTCGGTTGCTCTAACTATTTGACTACCTCTATATAGCCTTACCCATCAAGACCAATAATGTGAAAATAAATGAATGCTATGTCGTGGAATAATCACTTCCATAGAAGTGAATTAATCACTACTAGTGTAGGTTCACAACAATGTCCCTCCCCCTACCAAGGTTAATACAATAATTGTGTGTACCCGAATATTGAATTAAAACTTACACGACATTCTTAGAGTGGAAAGAGGACACAAAAGACTAGACAAATTTAGTCTCAAGAGTTACAACCTTTAAATACTAGAAACGAAACAAATATGACCACATGTTATTTAAATGGATACTCGTAAATTTAGTGGTGAAAATAAACCCAACAACAATCATTTAGGGATAATTGTGACCATCAAATTCTCATACAATCATTATGCCATGGAACCTGGATGGTGAACACGGTCCCAACGGTGTTAGTGCACCATTATCTTTTTTTTTTTTTTTTTTTTTTTTTTTTAAAAAAAAAAAAAAAAAATTAATCGCGTGACTTTTCTTTTTCATTTTCACATTTCGCGGTTTCACTTTAATTTGAGGTGAGCAATGATTTCGGACATTCATAAATTATGAATCCATGCCTGCACATTCACTTTGGAACCATGCCTACACATTCCCGTCCGAAACCATGGCTGCTCTTCTGTAGCGCAAGCTTCTTCAACATTCATAAATTATGAATTTTCTGTTATGAGATTATGAATTTACAATACATTCATAATCTCATAACAAAAAATTCATAATCTGACCAAACGCGCGCCGTTAACATCACATAAGCGAATTTTTTTTTTTTTAACGTAAAAACGACGCCGTTTGACTTTGGACCCGTGTTCACCATATTTGCCATTCTCATAACACCACAGCTAATAAAGAATAAAAGGAGATAAATAAACTTATGTTATATGTAATTAGCTGCTTCAACCAAAAAGATCAAATTATTATGAATGAGACTTAAATTTGTAACGTTGTATTTTTTTTTTTTTTTTTAAGTCTTAACCAAAGTAACTTTTTTAGTGAATCAATGCAAGGTCCTCACCCGATGCATCGCCATCGTGTTCCGTCTGTCGGACAAAAATTACTCCGTAAAACCCTAGCCGCCTTCATTTCATAAATACCTCTAAAACCCTACCTCAATATTCAACTCTCTTCTCAAGTTCTCGGCTTTCTCTGAATTACACTTCTTTTTCAGCTGAAAAGTAAAAATGCCTCTGGGAGAGAGGAAAGGGGACGAGAAGAATGATTCCAAGTACTGCGGAGTCGAGACTGAGTTTGACGATAACATGCCTCAGCTTCTCGGCCGCAATATCCATGGTGGGTTCGACTTCGTCGTCGCGCCATTGGTTAGTCTGTCACACTAAAATCGTACACTTAGAGATATATGTTTCGTGGAAATGCTTCATATTTGTGTTTTCTGGTATTAGCCTGCCAATAAATGTATGTTTTGTGTGCCGCTAGACTGTTTATATCTACTTGTTAAGTTAATTATTAATATAATTTTATGTTTGTGGATTTCGGTTCATCTCTTGAATTTTTGTTACAACGGTGATCAATTAGCCAATCACATATTGGCCAAAATGGCTGTATGTCCCACGTGTGAATGGTCAGTAATTCACCTACAGTAAGTTTTATGGTGTTCTTGGCCTTTAGGTGGACTATGCTATTTCTGTTATCACTCATAGTAGTCAAAGGCTGGCAACACTATATTCTTCTTGCGGGAATTTGAAATATTTTCTTGAACTCTAAGTGAAGGATGTTGGTTATGGATTTTGCTATATTTTGGACTTGGGGTTGTCTTTTCGTATTAAATGGCTATTTTGCCAATTACAGATTTGCCATAATAATTTGCTACTGTTCTTAGCTTTTATGTGAGCTATGTTATTTTCTGGTTTCATTCATAGCCTCATAGGTGGGCAGCACTATGCTTGATTCATAGGAACATTATGTGTCCAAGGATCAATAAATGTAGGATGCCAATATTTGTTATGGTTTTTGCTATGTTTGGAGATTTGGTTTTTCATGTCACATGTGTGATGTAAAGGTGACCAATTAGCCAATCGCATATTGGCCAAATGGCTAATGTACTATGTGGACTGGTCAGTAGGTCACCAATAGTAATTATGGTAGTGTGCTTGGCCTCTATGTGAAATATGCTGTTTCCCAGTTTCACTCTTGGGCTGGCAACACTATATTCTTTTTAGCTGGAATTTTAATTGTGTTCACAGATCTACAAGTGAAAGATATCAGTATTTGTGATGGTTATTGCCATGTTTGAGATTTGGGTTTGTATCATCATCACATCATGTAATAGTGATCCATTAGGCAATAACATATTTAGCCAAAATAACTGAACTATTCTGTTCTCCTATTCTTCTTGCTGAAATTTTAGTTGTGTTCAAATAACTATAAGGGATGGATGTTAGTAGTTGTGTTTTGTTGCTATGTTTGGGATTCAAAATTGTCTCATCATGTAATGGTCCAATTACATATTGGCCAAAATGGTTGTGTTAGCTATGTCAGTAACTCAGTAAGCCACTGATACAGTAGAAGTCGTCATCAGTCATCACTATCACTATATGTGTATAATGAAATGGTGGCTTACTAGCCAATCACATGCATCCATGACTGGTGCAATGTGTGGTTGGTAGTAGGTGCACTTGTAATAATGTGGTATATGTCAGTATTGTGTTTGTTTTGTTTTGGTTTTTTTTTTTTTTTTTTTTCTTTTTCAATGACATATATCCATATCCTCTGGAACAACTAATATACTAAACGTATCGCCAATCCTACCCCGCTGGACAAAACATTTAACACAGTATGCTATCAGCTATTCACTAATTGCCCAACACCCCCAAAATATAATTTAATATATGATGCATATCTATGAAGTTTAGTATATTTACTATATTACCTCTTTTTATAATATATTTATATATGTATATAATAAAACAAGGATACAAATTGATTGTCTAGTTATTCTTCATGCTATTCCAGCATGCTGTCCATTTTGCCTTAGTATATGCTTTGAAAATCTCATCTGTAAGAAGGAAGCGGTGCTCTGTCGTTTTAATTTCAAGCTATCTTTCAGTGATTAGTTCCTAATTTTACAATGCAGATGGATCCTAATTATAGACCCAGCTTAATGGAAAATCGTGATGGTGGATCTTGTGTGCTGCCTTTTGCTGGGTCAGACTTAGAGTTGAGCCCTTCCCAGTGGAGTAGTCATGTAGTTGGTATTGATCTGCTTTCAGCATAAGTATTTTATTTTATTTTTTTCAATTTAATTTGTGTTTTCACCTAGGTGTCTGAAAATATTTTTGTTCTCTCTGAACTTTGCACTCTAGTATGGGTGCGCTTGTTGGGTTTTGGGGGGGGGGGGGGATCATTTTGTTTTTCTTTATGAAGGCAGTATGAAGCTACAATCTAATAGTTGGAGTTGCATGTATTTATGGAATTGTTCCACTTTTTGATTTTTTTTTTTTTTTTTTTTTTAAATTATGGATAAGCAATCAGCTTTATAATATTCTGAGAAATACCGATTGAAGCATTTCAGAATATATGTGCACAAGTGCAGAAGATGGTAGAAATGGCTCAACAGTCTATTTAGTTTCAGTGTTAGAACTTAGAAGAAATTTTGTGACTATTTTTGTTCTTTGCATTGTACTATGTTTCATTAGTCCTCTTAAATTGGCTAGATATTCTTTATATAGTAGTGTATATGTATACTGTACATTCACCATACTTGGGATTGTAAAGTCAATGTTTTATTCTTTCCAATATTACTATGATGTTAGAAAGACCATTTAAAAGTTTGTAATCTGCATGAAGAACAATGATCAAATTTGATATGTACAGTGTGAAGCTCTCAGCTCCCAGGTCATTTAATTAATATCAGGATCTGTTATTTTATCGTATACAAGTAGATGGCCTGTATGGAGTAGATCTTGTATTTACTCTTGTCACAGTCGTAAAAGATGAAAAGGTTTTAAATTTTCAAATTTGTTCCTGATGTAAACTTGCATATTTTGTTATATTTTTGTTGATGGTGATGTATGTCCTGTACTTCTCACTGGCTTCAAAAGGTTTTCTAAGGTGTTTGAACTGAATTCCAAATGTTGGTTTTCCACAATGTGAAATATAATAGTTGCTTAAATATTTTGAGCTGCATATCTGCTATAGCGCATGGAAATATACTTGTATCTGATAAATTGCTTAGTGCAGTTGACCGATCCATTTTTGCTGCTAATGTTTAAAACCATTATCACGTAATTGTACCAGTCCAAGGTTTTTTATTTTATTTTATTGAATTCTGTAAATATGGCTTGTTGCATTAGTTGGTAATAGTAACTAATATTTTGGAGAATCTGATGTTCGAAAACCCTTGTCATTTGTGACAACTTGACTTGGAGGTGCCTTAGTGCCTATAGCCTATAAGTTACCTTGTGGTTGCACAAGCTGTCATCTAAATTTTAGCAATATGTTTATGACTTTAGCACTCCTTCAGTTCTTCTATTGCAATCTTAAGATCATTTGCATGGCTGTTGTCTATTAGTGTATGCTTGGTCCATAAATATGTTGTCTACACATCAAAAGTCATGCAACATATCATTTTTTGCCTTCTAACATTTCAATTCACACTAATCTTTTGGTTTTACTTGTATGTAGGCAAGATTAGCTCTTGGATTGACTTGGATTCTGAAGATGAGATACTTCGTAGGGATTCTGAGATTTCTTTAAGGCAAGAAATAGCTTGGGCTTCTCATCTATCCTTGCAGGTGTGTACAAAAGCTGCATTGACAAGGTTCAGTGTAGATGCACTCGAGTTGGACACATAACATCTCATTAATTACTTAGGACTTACGCTAATTTATATTCCACACAGTAAAAGGCAAGAATTTCATAGTTAATTGCTTGTATTTATTTTTTATGATAAGAAAATAGTAGTTGTGAGTTTCCTAGACTAATGATACTTCCACTTCTACAGTTCTACATTTCCATTGTTCCTTGCTCTTAAAATTATTCTTTCATTCTCTTCCTCCTTCACCCAACTGCTTAAGGCCTCTATCACTACATATCCAATTATTAAGTCTGTTCCATGAAATTATTGGGGTTGTTTTTGAAATAGATGTTGTTAATGGGAAAAGTTGTCTAAATAAGAAGTCCCTCAGTATCTTCAAATTGTAACTAGTAGGATGTCGTGGAAAGAACACTACTTTCTGGTTGGCCCCTTTTGTGTGACCTGTATGTGTCTATGTCACTATGATGCATCTTGTTTGATGTTGTTCCATATATTACCAAATACTTCTGTTTGTTACATGGGAAGTCACTTTTTTTTGGGTTTTCTTATAGGCATGCCTCCTTCCTGCTCCTAAAGGAGTTCCGTGTGCTAATTATGCCAGATGTGTGAATCAAATTTTGCAGAATCTAAACAACATGCAGGTTTCAACCTAGTCCATAATTTCTATTCATCCTACTGCATTTAGTCCACTTGTCATTGACTTCAGTTTATTAATTATTAATTTCATCTGTTCTAAAGTTGTGGCTTCGGATTCCGTTGAAGAAGTCTGATGATGATATTGTGAATGGAAATCCTGGTACAATGGTAAGTTATCCTTGTGTAGTTGGAGGTACAAATGCAAACAGATATTTTATTTTAGATTCTTGTTTAGCTGAAATATAAATATATTTACATGTGTATGAAGATCCTTGGAGTACTAAACATTTTTATGTTTTATTTTTATTTTGGGGTAACCTCCAAGCTTAAGTTGTTAGATATTACCTTTTCTGCTTTCAAATGCTTTCATTGATGAAATATGTATCTATTCTTGTTCAATTTTCTATTTAGCCAGTAGTAAACTTTTTTCTGTCAGCATGAATGGAACAAGTTTAGCTGAAGTTTTTTTTACAACCAGCCTTACATAGACACTCTGGACTCTGTGAGAAAGTTCATTACTTCCTTTGGTTCATTTTCTCGGGTTGTGGGAATTCTGTATACTTAACCTTTGCACATAGGAAACTTGAATTTTTGAAGTATGATAGGCAATGTTTTTTGCAAACCAGGATGAAGGACATGTTGATTCATGGGAGTTATGGAATGCGTTCCGGGTTCTTTGTGAACTCCATACCCAGTTGTCAGTTGCACTTGATGTTTTGTAAGTGAATGCAACCTCTGTTTTTTATCTGTTTATTCTGCAGCTTGAGACTATTAATCCTAGGTAATTTTTTCTGGAAAAAAACACAGTGATGTGGTGGCTTTACATTCTTCTATATTCAATGGCCACTCATGAATTGGTTGACCCCCATGAATTAATTGAATGAAGCCACATAAGTGTGTGCATCTAGCATTATGCTTTTATTCCTAAGCTATAACTTTAGTTCTATGTTACTTGTTGATCAGGCCTTCATTACCATCTGTGAATTCACTTCTGCGTTGGTTTGGTGAGCCTGTTAGAGCAGCCATAGTTAACACTAATGTACGTAATACTCCCTATGCCCCAATTTTCCATTCATGTTTCACTTCTCTAGAATTGGACAAGATCAGTTGAGTATTTTCCTAAGAAAATTGTTACTTTCAAAATGAGACTAATACTGCATGTATTTATTGTTTCTTAAATATGTGCATTTATTTTCCTAGTAATATACTTCAATGTTAGAAGTGCAGATGATCAATTTTGTCACTTGGTGGATTTCCTATTTCCTATAACTCATATTTTATTATTATATCTTGTACATTTATTGTCGTCTTTTTGCCAGTCTTTTCTAACCAATGCACGAGGCTACCCTTGTCTGTCAAAACGGCACCAAAAACTATTAACAGGATTTTTCAACCATTCAATTCAGGTAGTGTACCTTCATGTGGCTTTCTAATAATTACAATTGCATAATGTGTATCATTCCTTGGTTTCAGAGATTTGCTAATTCACATCTATAACCATCTCCATAGTTTAACTTAATGCAAAATGTTGTTTTTGTAAAATTTACATATGCTCTTCATACCTCTGAACCATATTATTTTATTAGCAGGTTCTACACCTTTTTTATATTCCCCTCTTTTTCTTTCTGCTTAGGGTGAAACTTTTTCCTTTCATATAAATTTGCAGATAGTGGTTTCTGGACAACCAGTTCACAATCTTCCCATTGGAAGTTCAGTGTCAGGAGAAAGTAACACTGGTAATATATTAATCTAGGATTCTTTGGAATGTCAAATAGACCAAGGAGTTGCCTTCTTGCTTATCCACCTTTACAATATTTTATGCTGTTGCATGCTCCAACATTTCTTTTGTTTGTTTGTTTGTTTTTTTTTTTTTTTGCTCTTTCACTTTGAAGCTAATTATGTTTTATTATATCAATCTTGATGATCAGGTACCCAGCGGCATCCTCTTAGGGCGTACTTGGACTATGTTGGTTATCTATATCAAAATATGGATGCCCTTCCTGAACAAGAACGTTTTGAGGTAGTGGCAAAACTCAGACCCTCTCTTTTACCATAGTTACCAAGTTTCTGTTTGCTTCTGTTCTTTCCATTCTCCTAGGCTTCCTGCTTTCCTCCCTTATATGCTGATATTTGTTTGATTTGTTTCCTAAATTTCAGCTTGGTTATAGAGATTACTTGCAGTCTCCTTTGCAGGTGAACTCTCCCTCCATTCAGTAAATGTATCATGCTGTCATTGTGTCAGTTCAAATATTTCCTTCACTGGCAGGTTTATTGCTTCAACAAACATTTTCTGCTCTAATTCTACAAAATAAATTTCAATTACTGCAATTTCTTATCTAAAAGGGTTTTTGCTGATGCTTATTGGATTTGAATTATGTCTGCAGCCTCTTATGGATAACTTGGAGGCTCAAACATACGAGACATTTGAGAGAGACACTGTTAAGTATATTCAGGTATTTTTCAAATAAAATTTTATATTGAACTCCAAAATTATTAGTAATGTTAGTTGGGAACTTAAGAGCTTGATGTTGTTTAGAAACGTTGCCAGAGTACCACCACAGTGGAAATTTTCTATATGAAATTGAGTATCCGTTAAGCACAAAGGCTTATTAGCAAACAGCTGAAAAGGATCTTTATGCTACTTTATTTTAATTTTAAATGACTTGAAGTATTAAATTTCTATGCCATAATTATACTGTTTGGTGATTCTTTTAATAACGATTGTTTATTTAGTTTGTCCATATTGATATATATAATTATATGAATTTGTATAAAATAATTCATTGGCATAATATTTTTTATTCTATTTTTTGAGGGTGTGAGGAAGCTGCCTGTGAAATTATTTTTGTAGTACTTGCCTCTAACTGTAAAGGGTTTAGTGAAAATTTACTGCAAACAATTTCTTTTATCAATTTTTATTTTTGTATTTTTATAAGCCAGGGCCACTAGTGGCAACCTCCTCAAGCCTTTTGCAGTAGTCAGAATTGATATAGACCCACTTCTAAATATAGTCATCCATCAGATTTTTGTCATAGCAACATGACTCCTTTTTAATTGCTGTAATGCTCTGCTGTTTAACTGTGATATATCTTGTTTTATTTTATAGATACATTTTAACAATTTAAAATATTGCAGAAATCAACCTTATATTTGCAAGCAATTTTCTAAATTAGTACATTTTGAGTGGGTGATGTTATCTTTTCTGGTCCTTATGATGTTATCAACTAAAAATATATGGTAAATCAACATTAAGTGAATCAAAACTTTTGTTTTTTTACACTTCAGATGTCCTTTTCTGTATCTAATTTCCCTAGTCCATTTGCCACTGCTTCACTTCAGTAAACTTTTCTCTCTTTTTCTGTTCACCTTTTCCCCCATTTGGCCTGTTGACCCACTGAAGCTACTTCTACCTGAGTTTTTAACTGAATAAAATTAGAGAGGGTAGAGATAATGGACTTGAACTGGTCTCATTTTATGGATGGTTAGTGATTTTGCACTCTGCTCAGTGCTCACTTACTAATAGCTCCGACAAATGCTGATTTTCTCTTATTTATACAGTACCAAAGAGCAGTTGCCTATGCTTTGATGGATAGGGTTCCAGATGAAAAGGCATCCACAGTCACAACAGTAAGTATTTGGTGTGAAATATTAATATGGAAACTTAGATTTAGCTACCCAATTTCTCAAATAATGCCCTGCTTGCACTTGGAGCAGGTATTGATGGTTGTAGGTGCTGGACGTGGACCTCTTGTCAGGGCTTCATTGCAGGTTCACTAATCTTCTTGCTTGGGGAGGGTGGGGGATAAGCAGTGCCAATTCATTTACACTAGCTAATTCATATTACTTCCTTGTTTTGCAATTGTAAATAGGCTGCTGAAGAAACTGGACGCAAGTTGAAAGTTTATGCTGTAGAGAAAAATCCAAATGCAATTGTTACACTTCATGTAAGTTTCTAAATGGAAATGGAAATGAAGAAATTCTGGCATTTTAAGTTATTAATTCATAGTATTAATAATATAGTTGAATATTTTGATACCTCTTATACCTACTTACTCAACATTACTTGGGTGTCCCAGAGTTTAGTAAGGCTGGAAGGATGGGAACAAATTGTAACCATTGTTTCAAGTGATATGCGTTGCTGGGATGCTCCGGAGAAAGCTGATATTTTGGTATGTAATTAATGTTTTGGCTTCAACAAACTTATCTATATAGACATTTTGGGTTCAGTAAAGTGAAACTTTTTGTGCATTTTCTATTTCATTATTTTCCAAGAGATGCTCTCTATTCTTTTAATCAACATTTGGTTATTATTGTTCCTTTCCTTTCTTCTTAATCTATATAGGTCAGTGAATTGCTTGGGTCTTTTGGTGACAATGAGCTGTCACCTGAATGTCTTGATGGGGCAGAGAGATTCCTTAAGCAAGATGGAGTTTCCATTCCAACATCGTATGTTCTATATTCTGATTGCAATATATTGCTTATCTCTGTTTATAGTCCTATGAATTTATCTATCAATTTATTTTCTTCATAGCATCCATACAAATGGTATCTTCAATTATGCAAATAAATGACCTTTAATCTGACTTTTTGTAATTGTTCTTATTACAGGTATACAAGTTTTATACAACCAGTTACAGCATCTAAATTGTACAATGATGTAAAATCTTGTCCTATGCTTGTTACTCTGATTGAGTTTCCGTGACAAATTTTGTTAATATTAGTCTCATGCTCCTAATTTTACAGATTAAATCGCATAAAGATATAGTGCACTTTGAAACTGCATATGTCGTCAAACTACACCGTGTAGCTAGGCTTGCTGCTACTCAGCCTGTAAGTTTATTTCTTGTGAAACTCTTTGATGTATTCTATATACATACATACATTTATATACGTAAGTGTATATGTGTATGTACGCACATACATACATCTTGAATAGAAAAGTTTGTTTAAAGGAAATTTATTAGAAAAACAAAAGCAGATTCTCAATTTATATTTATTTTATTTTATGAAGTTGACTTCAACAGCTTACATTTGTCTTTACTGTACTTGTTAGGTCTTTACATTTACTCATCCAGAACATTCAACCAATAAAAACAATAATAGGTATAAGAAGCTTCGGTTCGAGATACCTGTTGATACTGGATCAGCCATGGTGCATGGTATGTAAACAACTTGTGTTTGAATCACCTCTCTAGCAAAATTTCCAATGGTTCCCTAATGGCAATAGTAGTTGCTAATCATGCAAATCATCCTTAAGAAAAGGTAGCCTGTAGCCCTATATACTTCTTAAAACAGGCAAGTTTTGCTTTTGGGTTGCTAGATCAAATTGATGCGTATTGGACAAATATTAAGACTTTCTCTCAGCAAGGTTCTGGTAAAATGTGAATCGATGAAGTCAATGATGGCCAACTATATTCTCTTAAAATTATACTCCGTAACACTAAAGGCAGATGGCCACAACCAAAATGTGTAGTAGTGGGCAATGTAGTATTTTTGTCCTTCCATTTCTTCACCATTATCTTTATGCCCGTCCCTCTGCATGTTTTCTCCTTTACTGTATGTTTATGTCTCCAAGCCAATTGCATTGAAATTTACTCTTTAATAGTTCACTGGTAAGTCTTTGTGCATAAGACTATTTATATTGATTAATCACTGATGAGGTCTTATAGTTCTTGCTGCTTTCCAGTATTAACTTTATTCTTAATAGGTTTTGCGGGTTACTTTGATGCTGTACTTTATAAGGATGTTCATCTTGGTATTGAACCTTCAACAGCAACACCAAACATGTTTAGCTGGTACGATAATTCTTTTTGTGCGTGTGATACATTTATACTTGTGAAGCTATTGTAAAAACCATTTTAATCTGTCAACTTGGTTGGTAGGGTTACGAGTTTCATATAACTAATATTTTCATTCATTTCTTCTCTATATTGTTGTTTATTTTGTTGGTGAGGGGCTTGAATGAAAAGTTATGGATGTGAAATGAGGAACAATTGAAGTTTCTTTTCCTTAAAGTTGGATACTATTTATTTTGTTTATTTTGTTAGTTTTTAGAAATTCTCTTGAAATTGCACAAAGTTCAAAGGAACTGAAGAACTGCATCAAATGCTCTTCTATTTCTGAAAGTAAACTTATGGTTCAGAAATAAGGGAAATAGTAGTGCATGGTTACTCTCTTTTTTTTTTTTTTTCCAATGGTACCTAAAAAAATGTTACGTTTAGCTGCAGCCTGCAGGCCACTGGGTGTGTTGATTGTTTTCTTCTGTTAACATTTCCATAACTCCTGAAGAATAATAATCTGAAAATGGAGTCTTTTCTACAGGTTCTCAATATTCTTTCCATTGAGGACACCAGTATGCGTGCCACCTGGTATCCCTCTAGATGTTCATATGTGGCGATGCTGTGGTTCTACTAAGGTACTACTTTTCTGCAGGATTACTATCTGTACAATGAACATATTATGTTAAAAAAAAATAAATCTATATTGCATTTTGATTTGAGACACTTAAAACTAGTCAGGATTGTCATGGTTTAAGAAAGGAGGTCATTCTCTTTCACACCTTAAATGCATAGTCCACAACTGGTTAGAGTCTTGGTATCTTATGGCGAGGATTAAAAGATTGTAACATGATTTTATGGGAAAAATTGCATCATATTAAACTTAAAATTCCAAATTTTGATTCGAATCATAAATAGGTTTGGTATGAATGGTCTGTTACTTCTCCAAGTGCATCTCCAATTCACAACAGCAATGGGCGGTCATACTGGGTTGGCTTGTAAGCCTATTCACACCATGATTTTGCAGAGCAGAGAAGTGGACATGGTTTGGTACTTTTGATACTAACGAGGTGAGGTGGAGTTTAAAATGTAACCTAGATTATTGGCATGTTGCTTCATATGAGGCTTCAACTTTCTTTGGTAGGGTTTGTACACATTCGGTTACACCTAGAAATGATGTATCAATAGTAATTTTGAGTTCATTTTTTTTTTTTTTTTTGTTTTTTAACATTACTATTACTATTACTAGTTAAGTCAGTTGTTACTTTAAAAAAAAATTAAGATCGTATATTGGCTTTATACCGTGTTTAGTGTAACATATCGTATTGTGAAATATTGACGTTCAACATATTTGCAAAAGGAAAATGGTTTTTACACCTCCTAAGTTTTTCCTCCTGATGTGGCTATGAATATGCTGACAAATTACTAATTAACAAAAAAATAAAATGTTATCAAATAAATCTAGAAGTTGTTTACATAAAAACATGATTGAAATAAGTAAAGTGCGTAATTAATTTATTATAAGTTTGGTGATGGTGTGTAACAGGGCAAACAAAATAATTCATGGGAGTTGGGTGCGAACCCATTGATCGTAGTCATGCAACAATTGTTGCAGAAGCAGGGGTACTAACCTATCCACCAAAGCTTGCATCATTCTGCACATCACATGATATAGATATATCATATCATATGGCATATGGGTGATCCAAAATATAGAGACAGATGGGGAGAGATATATATTGGTGCTTACATATTTCCAGGACGCTCAACAGCAGAGACTGGCAGCAAAGTCAATGGCTGGGTATATATCTGTATCATCAACATTCATTCATAAAGCTTCAAAGCTGGGATGTAATTAAGCAAGCTGTCAAGTATTCTTGACATTGAGATGTTAAGCTGCTTGTTTCCACAATATCCTTCCTTGATTCAACAATTATTATTATTTACTTGTAACAAAATCTCAATCAATCAAATCTACAATGAAACATATCCTCCACAAAATCAAGAAAACAAAAAATAAAATAGTAAAATGGGAGAATAATATAACCTCAAGAGAGAGATCCAACTTCACATCAATGTTTAAGAATGCCTCAGAATCAATGGTCTCCCATGTTATATAATTCCTCATGGATGCTGCCAGGTCAAGGTTCAAGGTTCAAGGTTCAAGGTTACGACTTAAATTACAATCATCATATCATTCCCATTACCACAACAACTTTTAATTTGCTTTCACCTATACAACCTTCCTTTCCTAAACACAATACAAATTTGTAATCTAAAATTAAGAATAAAATAAATATTTATTATTGTTAACTTATCAAGCAACCAAAACATCATTGAAAACGGCAAAAAGTTGCACTATAATGTTCCATTCCTACCCAAAACCAGACATAAGGACTGATGACCCCAAGCAAGTTAGTTGTCACAAGATTAAAAATTCATCAAGCATATATACCTGAAAAATGTTCATTCTGGCGTTCCACAACCTCTGAACCTTCAAACTGAAATCAACATTTTCATAACAGACAGTATTCCAGAAGAATAAAGTACACAAATGAAATGCACTTCAGAAATTAGTTATATGAATGCTATTGGGCTTAATTTATTTATGCTTTACCAGAACCTACTTACTATTAGCTTTTATTTTGAGTCTGCAGCAGGTGTTTCAATCACATTTCATACTATATATGATCTTCAGACCAACTGGTTTTTGTAGATTGTCTTTTCTAGAATTAATTATTACAAGGAAGGAATTGACTACTGTAAACTTGAAGAGGTATAGCGTGCTATCCATTCTACAATTGCTGGTTAAGTATTGTTCGGTCAGAAAAGAAATCACAAAGAATAAATTACGGATTTGATGCCTTTATTGGCCTAAACAAAAGAATTAAGTTAGATTTCACATGTTGGTAGTCTAGGCTGTTTTGTCTAAAATCTATGGCTTCTTCAATACTTGATGAACTTAGTTAACGTTTCAAAACAGAATAGCAATCTTATTTCAAATATGAAGAATTCCAGTTTTAAGTTCATAATTACATGAAAACTTACCTTACAAGACAACATCTCAACTCTGCAATCTTCGCTAGATGATGTTACTTGTAAAATTAGGACAGGGGCAACCTCAAAATTCAAAAATTGAATTTGTGGAAGAGTACATCTGGCAGCAGAAATGCATATTATTAATATTTACATCTCTTTTTCGGGCTATAAAACCCTCGAGATTCAAAAGAAACTAAGATGGGATACCCCACACTTCAAACACTGTTTAGACCCTACGAATGAACAAGTAATAATAAAACAAACACTTTAAAAAAAAGAAAAAGAAGACACTATCTTAGAAAATGGCCTAGGTGATGTATAATCCACAAAACTCATCTTTGCTAAACATTTACTTACTGGATCATGATTGAGTGGAACTGTTCCCTTCTCTTTCCTTGGTAAAACTTATTTAATTAAATGATTGATTAAAGAATCAAAGTTTTTATAAAAACTATAATCATTGAAACTAAGTTAAGTTTTAGGGGGAAAGCGGGGGGGATTAAAATGAAATAGAAGATTAGAATAGTTACCTGTACAAGTTAGAATTTAGGGATTGCAAGCTCTGCAAGGCTCTCTTGTTCAAAATGGCTTCAATCCCGGATGGATGGCTAAGGAACTTGCTAATATGAAATGCTTCCTGGTTGCCGTTACTATATGTAGGAAGCTTAATTTTTTCATTCTTTGTTGCAGAGAGATTTGCTTTCTTGGTTTTTGAGTTTAGGGACAAGTTTGGTTTAACTATTGTAATGCCTCCACTTCTGATTCTGAAACAAAATATATTCATTTTTGCTAAACCCCCCCCCCCCCCCCCCCCCCCAAAAGAAAAACAAGAATATATATCAAAAAATTACCTGAATTGCTGGAAGAGAAAAGAAGAAGAAGAAGTGGAGCGAGGCAGCGTTGCCATGATTTCCGGCGAACTATGAGACTCTATCCTCTTACCTCTTCTGCCATGGGGCCATGGGGGAGATATTAGATTTATGTATGTTTCAATCCTTATACCATGGACCAGGTTTACACTGCACTTTAGTCTATGAATCTTGGTAAAAGTCATCAACTTTGATGAATTTACACAAGATTAACTTAAGCACAAAAAATTATTTAAGACTAAATTAAGTAAAATTACTATAATCGTGGACTATATTGAATATTAACTCATTTCAACACTAAAAATACATAATTATAGAGTGGACTCTGAACCATGATACAACTCTATAAATTCTATACTTTATCATTTCAATTTATGGTCCACAATGTTATATGAACCTTTCATGATACTAGTAGAGACCGGTAGGGGTGAGCATAATTACCAAAAAACCGACAAAACCGATAACCGATAACCGAACCGACCGATAATTTCAGTTATCGGTCGGTTATCGGTTATAAGGCAAAAAAAAATTCCGGTTATTCGGCTATTCGGTTATTTATCGGTTATGAAAGTGTAATAACCGCGGTCACCGAATAACCGACACTATTATTTATATATATATATATATATATATATATATATTTTATTTATTTATTTATTTATTTATTTATATTACTTATGGATGCTCGGTTATTCGGTTAACCGAATAACCGACCGAAACCGACATAATCGGTTTCGGTCGGTTAATAGTGTATGTTCGGTCGGTTTCGGTCGGTTATGGAGATTTAAAAAATGCCATCGGTTATTCGGTTATCGGTCGGTTATTAACCGTAACCGACCGATGCTCACCCCTAGAGACCGGCGAGGTGAAACATCATTTACCCAAATAATATTGAAGCCAAAGGAGTGGCAAATTATGTTGTGCATCCGTGTGCACCATGCACGGTTGCAAAAACGACGTTGTTTTGCCTAAAAACGCGCGTCCCACTAAAAAAAATTAATTTTGATTCCCGACAACAACATTATGTTGTGCATAATTTGAACTATATATCCAGAATGCATGAACTAAATATTCAGAATGAATGAACTAAATATCCAACATGAATGAAAAAAAATCAGTTTCGATTTTTGTCTAAATATCCAGAATGAATGAACTAAATATTCAGAATGAATGAACTAAATATCCAGAATGAATGAACTAAATATCCAACATGAATGAAAAAAAAAAATCAGTTTTGATTTTTGTCTAAATATCCAGAATGAATGAACTAAATATCCAACATGAATTAAAAAAAAAAACCAGTTTCGATTTTTGTCTAAATATCCAGAATGAATGAACTAAATATCCAGAATGAATGAACTAAATATCCAGAATGAATGAACTAAAAATTCAGAATGAATGAACTAAATATCGAGAATGAATAAGCACAACATAATGCTGTTGACAAGAATTGAAACTGAATTTTCTTTTAAGTGGGATGCGCATTTTTAATCAAAATGACGTCATTTTTATAATTGTGTGCACCTTGCATAGCATAAATATTGCAAAGAAGTGGATTGCATTTGCTTGCTATTTGGGCCGCATCATTTACCCAAATAATATTGAGGGCGAAGAAGTGGATTGCATTTTCTTTCTATTTGGGCCGCTTTATTTATATATATATATATATATATATATATATATATATATATATAGTCTTTAAGTCTCTAACATAACAAAATACTCATTTGTATTGTCTATACTATTCATATACAAGTATACAACATACGAAAATTTGATACAATTAGTCCCGCGTAAATTGAGATATCTAATATATTATAAAATTTAAGGAAAATAATTAAATAGATCCTCGAACTTTAAATGAAAAGTCACTTAGCCTTTTAAATTTTTTAAATGTTCAATTACACTCATCAACGATTTATTCTGATGCAATGAAGCCCAAAACTGGTTAATGACATTCTATCACAAGTCATTAGGGTTCCGACTACCATACGGCGAAATTTTAGGCAAAGGCCGGCCTCGAAGAAGGAGACCAAGGTCGCCTTCTCGCTGGAGAAGGCAACCCAGATATGGGTCGCCTTAATGCCTATTATCATTGTCTTTTTTTGGGAATAAGAATTTGGTTATGTTTTTGAAAGTGCACTGCGCCAAGACATTAAAATTACAGTAAAGAACAACATGGGACTATATCAAATCAAAATTTTATTTATAGAGGAAGCGGCAACAAGAGGAATTATCAATCACGCCAATTAATAGGGTTTTGCGTTGCAAAAATTATGCTTGGATACTATCCAGTAAGGATGGTCTCTCTAAACTTGCTATTGCACTAGTTAATCCAACATTTCTGCCATGGGTCATAGCTATGCATTCTTAAAATATTCAGTTTATGAAAAATTTGATAATTTTACATTGATATAGCCAGAACACTAAGGGAGCGTTTGGTTCGGGTTATCTAAGATAACCAAGGTTATCTTTAGCTAGTTATATAACATTCTTGTGTTTGGTTGAAGTTTTCTAATTAACATTCCCTTGGAATCTTATTTAGCCTCCACATAAGCATTTTCCTTATTTGGAAGGGAATGTGATTCCCTTGGTTTCCTTAGGTTATGTAACAGTCTCTTGCTTTTTTACAGACTCTACCCTCCACTCTTTTACGAACTCTGCGTTTGATATTTCTTGGTTTCTCTCTCGCATCGTTGAACGCAATTATTTTTGCATGGTTTACTGATTCTATAATCCTTGTTAATGTTAACTTTCCCCTTAATGAACAATCATTTTTGCAATCTTACTGATTCTCATTATGCCTAGTATAAAAATTATATTAGTTCTTTTGCAGTGAAAGTTAATACAAATTAAAATTGAAGTGCATCACACATACTCAGTGAAAGTTAATACAAAATTTTTGAACTTCATATATTGAAATGCATGAAAAATGTTGAGGGTATTAAAGTGAAATAACCATTATAACATAAAGAACAACCCTTCAACCAAACAGCTTTATATTACATATCTCAGTTTTAACCAAACACAGGATTCTAACATTCCCAGAAATCTAACACTCCCTAAGGTAATCTGACATTCCGTGAACCAAATTAAACGACCCCTAAATGGTACTTTAATAATTTCTAAAATATTAATTTAAAAATATACATTGAATATTGAACTATTCACGCAATGCGCGTGTGGTAGCTAGTAGTAAAAATAAATTATAATATGATAAAAAGCAAATTTTATAGTATTAGTCCACGATGTAATAATTGCGCAAAACTAGCTCAGGTCCCGCAGCATTTTTGGGACATTGCCGACTCATGTTCATGTATGTACTTCATCGTTAATATAAATCATTGGGCGGCGTTTGTTAGAAAGTATAGGAATTGGGTGCAGTGGTTTTTATAGTATATTATTATAGTAGGACTACGTCCCCACACCCGGCCTAGCTAGCTATTAGTTTTAGTTTTAGTTTGAGGCCGGAGATGAGAGGACCACCAATATTTGCACAACTTAATTTCATCATATATGCATGGACGCTATCATAGATTCATAAGCTATGGCAAATTTTATTGTGGACTGTGTTTCACATAGAACATGACCAAAGCCAATAATATAATGGTAAACAACGAAGTCTGTGGTCTGTAGTATCATTTCTTATTCAGTTTTATTTTATACACATTATAACTTTATTACAGTACCACTACATACAATACCATTCTCCTTTAACTATAATTTCATTTAAACTTAATATGTGAGATACTATTTAGTTGCATTTTAATTTGTACACAAATTTAGTTTCATACAGTACCATTAAAATATCAATATTATTCAACTACAATTTTCATTTGACAATATATATTCAATATGTGAAACTTACCATTAAGTTTCATTTTATACCCATTGTAGTTTCATTACAATACTACCAAAGTATCATTCTAATTAAACTACAATTTCATTTAACAATATACATTCAATATATGTGAGATTGGATGTTGGTTTTATGACTTTTGGGTAGTCAACGGCTGGCCAACAACATCGTTAAAATAACGAGTGTATGAGAAAAATATAAAGAAAATATATCGAGGGAATCTAGCTAGAGGGAATAAATATTTTGTGTTATTGAGAATTGCTTGTGAATAGTGTAAATTGCATTTTTTTTCTCCCATGTATATATGGGGCCTATTATTTATACATATTTTAGGCCTAGAGTCCTACACGGAATAAGAATCTTAGATGACCTCATATCGAGAGTTACTGTTACATTGGGAATAATCACTACAAGAATTTTCACATTTAGTGACAACAGAAGTTGTCACTGAAACTATCAATTTTGGTCACTATTGAAATTAGTGACCATTTTTTGAAGTCGTCACCTGTCGTCACTATATCCTCCGTCACTATTGTAGTAGTGACGACTTTTGAAAAGTTGTCACAATTACTCACTATTTGTGACAATATTTACTTTCACTACAAGTAGTATTTGAGTGATAACGATAGTTGTCACAATAAATATATAATTTGTGACCAAATATGTTATTACAAAATATTATTCTAGTGACAACTAAAATCGTGACAATTAATTATTTTATTGTGACAACACTTTAGTCACAATAGTTGTACTTATTTGTGAGAATTGTTCTTGACGCAAAAACGATTATCAGTGACCAAAAAAGTGGTATCAATAATTACTTTGTTGTGACAACAATCATGGTAACAAATATTGTATTTATTTGTGACAATAGAAGTTAACTCTAAAACACTCATTAGTGGTAACTAAAGTCGTACAACAATTCAATTTCTTGTAACCATCATCTTTGTCACTAATATCTTTAAAAATAGTGGCAACATATTTGTCACTAAAATACTGAAAATTAGTTGCGAAATTTGTGTCACTAAAATTAGTTGAAATAGTGTCATTATTGTCAATCTTAATGATTTTATAAGTGACCATTACTTGGTCACAATTATTTTTCCAAATAATACTAGTCAAATGCACAAAATATAAAATTATTTATTTCAAAATCTTGTCATGAATAATTAAATGTTTTTAATTTAATTATTATTTGGAATAAAATAATGCATTCAACAAATGTTACTCGTTAAATTTATATATATATATATATATATATATATATATATATATATATA